TGGCTACCTTCATGTACCTCTAGCCATGTCACACAGCTCCATTAGAGGCTGGCTACCTTCATGTACCTCTAGCCATGTCACACAGCTCCATTAGAGGCTGGCTACCTTCATCAGGGCTTCTGTCTTGTTGACTGTCACGGAACTGGAAATACTCGACAGGAGAACAGATTTTTTTCCTCATGCAAGCAGCTTTGGGTATTTTTCCCTCTCTTTGAAAGTGGCAGACCTTAGGAAGCGTGGGTAGCAATCTTTCTCCATAAGAGTGTAGACTTCAAGTTGGGCTATATCAAAGCACATTCTCTTGCACTCTTCAAGGTTGTTTTTAGAGAAATCTCTGGTCTTCTGGTCAATGTTGACCTGCAGGAAAAATGGAATACTTGTTTGGTCTGTTTAAAAAACAACAATGATAAGTGGAAGTCTTTAAACCTTACAATATATGAATAAGCGATAATTACCTCCCTTGGTGCATCCCTTTGAATGAACTCTTCATAAATATCTTTTGCTTTTGTTTTCAGTTTGTCTGGGGATTTGGTGCTTTTGTAGTCCTCACAGGCTAGATAAAAATCTATGTTCTCTTCACTGTACTCAGACACCAAAAATGCTCTGAATGTTAATAGTCCATCTGTATAATAATTAAAAGAAAATAATTCTTAGTTAGTTACAAAGAGCTGCATAACAGGGGTTTCATTGTTATTAAACATCCCGCCATGATTAACTTGAAATATTACATGATAAAGAGGGGCTAATGTTTGCCTGAATATGGAAATATATTTCCAAAAAGAGGGAAATTACCAGATGAATGTTCTGCTGTGCTGTGCAAAACGCGCAATGCATCACGCTGAATCCATTGCGCTTAGGCCTGACTGGAAGCTTAATTTGTAAAAGTGTATAAAGACCTAGACCTAGAAATGCATCCACAAACCTTTATTTTCCAGGAGTCTGTCGAAGGATCCTTTCCATTTCAAGGATTCAACTTGGGTAGTACTGCTGAAAAAATGTAATATAAAAAAAATGTTATACATATAATTAATAGCAAAAATGTTAATAATTTAATTATTTCCATATGCTTACAGTAGCGACTTTTAAAATTATATGCACAGTATAAGGCAGAAAATAAATTCACTACTTATTACATATATATATATAGTGTGGATGATATTTACATAATGACTCACTTTAGTTGGTCTGTTTCATATGGGTGGCTGGATAGGATCCATTGTGTCTTTTTAAGAAAACTGCTCAGGTTTGCCTTCAGTACTTTAGCCCTAATATTGGAGGTTAAAATATTACATTAATATCATCTACAGTGATAAACACAGAGAGTATAGCTACACTACATTATGCAAATTACATAACAGTAACAATATACTGTACTTTTGCTACCAACAAACATGACCAGATGCAAATTCTGTATAAAATCCAGTTCACTGACAAACAGTCGCAAGTAAATTAAGTTTCAAATAAATAAATAAGCACTCAAATACTTTGATAAAAAAATTTGGAATTCTTCGTGACTGCCAATGGCAAAAAGGCTGCTGTCAGTTAACACGGAGTAAAACGGATAAAAACGAGACACTTTCTGTGCAAATATATCAAAGGTTTCATTCTAGGTGCATATATTCCACAATATTCCACGGTGGAAGTCCGCAGAAATGCTACAAGCATGCAGCTAAAAGCCGCGGCTGAGTGAGTTACCTTTTCCGGAACGTGTCAGGCAGCGATGCGATTCCCCGGCGCATGTTGACGTCAGGTGGGAAGGCCCGCATGTCCTCCTGCGGTGGGTGGCTGGCACGACGTTATCAGCAGATTGTCCGTGCATTCTGGGACAGGGGGATTTTATATGCAGCAGATGGCTGCCTGTCATTACCCTGCCCTAGTCAATGACGTGGGCTTACAAGGGGACGGGGGGGCAGGCCGAGATCTCAGAGCAAAGATAAATGTCTTCCTATGATGATTTTACTGTCCCTTCCATCAGATGTTAACCTTCCTGGAGTTTCTTTTGTTTTTTTGTTTTTTTTGAAAGCCAGCTATTCTGAACCAGCAAGAAAAAATAGCAGCTGACAACACAGGAAACACACATCCTGCAATAATCGCCTTATCGCTCGGAAAGGGGAAAATAATTGTTCATTAGAAGCGTTCAGGGCTTTGGCAGGCAGAATGGGCTACGTAACAGTGAGATAATAATCAGTCAGGAATCATTACACGTGGATTATGCTATTTAAAAGTGGCGAAAACAGAAAACATTACGGTGAACACATGTTGTTATGCCACTGAAAGGCTGCTTGGGTGTGTGATTTATGTTTTGTGGTTTCAATTGTCCTAAAGATTGTGCTTGGTTACACATAAATCCCAGAATTAGCTGTAATACAGTGTTTGTCGAGCGATCAGTGATGCTTCCAGCTGTTGACGGCAGAGTGCGGCACATCGAGTGCGGAATATCCACAGATACTACTGTGTGGGCCAAGAAAAGACAAGCCCGAGTATGGAGGACAAAACGCAACGTGTTATGTAACTGTACTGGCTCGGGAGAAGACGTAAGATGCTGAGTGAATCCACAGTGTTATTAAACCAAGAGATCACAGGCACCTTGTGCTACATGGATTTAAAAAATCCATCGATCCTCGAAGAACTTATCCAGTACAGGATGATGGGGATGGACAGGGGCAGGTTTGTTGTCCTTCAGGGCTCCCAGCCCCCTCTAGAGTACCGACTCCAAACCTTGGGGGTCCTACACAAACGCACGGTGTGAGTGGTGGTGAAGACCACACCTAGGGATGCACTACACTGTAGGTCTGTGTTCCTCTGGGATATATGACATGTACTTTGTGTTGTTAGCAGGCAGTAATATGCTACTTGGTGTAGCGGTTCTGCGAGCCCATGCAGCATGTACCTCTGCCCAGTGACCTGTGCTTCCTGGGGTTGGTTCCAGGTAAACACATGGTGAGCGGGTCAGGTCAGGTTGGGGAGCATGTGCTGGTACAGCGTGATGAAACGCCTCAGGGTCCCAGTTGGTGACCCCCCCCCCCAAGCCGACATGCAGTCTAGTCCCACTCTCCAGTAATGACCATCTATCTGCTGTACCCAGGTGCTACTGTACGTGGGTGTTCCCTTGACCTGGTCCAGCCGCTCGGGTCCTCAGCAATGATCAACACTTCACTGGAATACTGTCAGTCCCAGAATAAATTCTACTGTAAACAATTCAAGATTACATTGAAAATTCTATATGAAATAAAATTACTGGGGCTTATGTACTGTATACCCATTGGCAATTGCATATTTCTTGCAAAATAGGGCTTAGCGCATTTGTTACTGTGTATTGTCATGTATATTGGCACTGGAAGCCATTTGTTTACTGCCAGAAGGTGTATATGATGACCCAAGCACCCATAACCTTCTTCCCAAGGTGGGGTTGTGGAAGTTTTGATGGTAGCTTAATCAGAGAGCTGACAGCTACTAACCTTTCCTATTGTCTGGATCCAGTCATTTAAAAGTGACTGATAAGCTCCATTGCTTTGGATTCAAGTGGATTCAAGTGCGGCATCAAAGGAACGTAATTAGTGGAATAAAACAATGGGATGAAAACCTTGCCTGAGGTTTTTATGCTCTTTATTTTTAACTGGCAGACAACTTTTACAACATTTATGGGATGCAAAAGACATTCATCAGTGTAGGTGTCAGCAGTTATATAGTAAATAATAAATAAGTTAAATCACGAACGCAAGGGGAAAATGTAGCTTTGGAAGACGTGAAACATTATTTTACAAGAGCCACACAAAATTCAAAAGTTTGAACTTACACTTTTTAATCACCAACACAAAAAATCATTTCATTTCATTTTTCAAATGATCTTTTATAGACAGGGACAAATGAGCCATACATAAAATTATTTTGCAAAGCCAAACCTTGTAAGATATTCCCACTGTGCTTTACATACATCACAGCTCACATTCTGAGGAAATAAAACTTTTATTTCTTTTCTAGGTTAATGACATGCATCTTATATAATACAAGCAGCCTGTAAGTGTAACCAAGGAGGCCAATTTCCAGACGATGTCCAAATAAATTATAATTTATAAGTAAATATAAGGTTACCTGCTTCATTATATGCCATTTCTCTGGGGCAATTAATAAAAATATATAAAAATATAAATATCAATAAATCACAAAGACATTAATCTTAATTATAATATTTAGACTTTCCTTTGAAACAAAAGTATTTGCTTTTCCAAAGACAATGGAAACAGTCCATAATGTAGATAATAAAATGTATGTGTGCACTTTTTGACACATTAAAATGACATGCAGGTTGAAATCAATGTTTGATGTCAAAATAACTATCAAGATGGACTTCTGAAACACAGTACAAGGTCATATTTTGTTTTCTAAGCAGCAAGAAAACCACTAGACAGCCTATAAATAGGATGCTCATACCAGAACTGTTTACACTTAACACAGGAAATGATGTTACCTGCTGAAGAGCGTTAATGCATGTTCTAACACTTCCTGTAACTGCTTCCTAGTTCAGTCAGCCTATCAGGTGACCCGCTAAAAGGACCGCCTTTGACGCTGCGATTGGGCCTTATTTAATATGTCTATATATATATTCGACCTCAGGAATCGTGGGTAGGAATCCTTTTCCATCAGGCTGTACACTCTGCCTTGTACATCACTGAAGGTGGAAGTAGTTGGTTCTAGTAGGTTCTGCTTAGTCAATTCCCTGGTGTGAAAGTCAATGTTGACCTAAGGAGGACAAAACACAATAAAACAAAGCCCATGTGAACTCAGCACTTGTAAAACTAAACTGATTATAAAACATCAGACTTTAAAAGGTTCTGAAAATTAAGTGGTAGTTTCCTTTTTTACTGAAGCAACAGCAGATTATGAAAACCCTGAGACTACCTCTCTGGGCGCTTGAACGTCAATAAACTCTTCATAGATCTTATTTGCTTTGGTCATCAGCTTGGCGGGAGACTTGATCTTTTTGTAGTCTTCACAGGCCATCCAGAACTCGATGTTCTCGTCGCTAAACTCCGTCTTGAGGAAAGCTCTGAAAGCCGCCAAACCATCTAAAGAACAAAGATAAAATTATTCATATCTCCAAATAACATGAACAGGAAATGCTTACTGATAATCATCACTTGAGCAATAATCCTTCTTATAAGTGATGTATACTGGCTCTAGTGATAATATTAACTGGGTTCTGTTTTTTTTTTCAATGTGGTACCAGCAATGATATTAGGATTTCTGTGTTATTTTGTTATATAGGAACTTCAAAAACTTTCAACAAATATTCCTAAAATATATAACAGCCTTTTTAAAAAAAATTTACATGAAAAGAATAGATCAATTATTTGATTAAAAGAATTAAATTGATGAATGATACTTTGAAAATAGTTCATTTGAAGGAAATAGTTCCAACTATTGAAAGGGCAATAAATGTGTGTGTAGGCGAGATGTAAGCAGCACCCTGTGACATGGGATTGTGCGGAAGGAACAAGGACTTCATTTGGACTCGGTGGGCGAGTGGGTGGGTGGGCAGGAATGAAACCAACATGCAGCCATTTTGGTGCCAGCTTAAGAAGACACACTGGAAACAAAGGCAGTGCGGGTCACGGTAAAAGCTACAATGATGTGGAATCAACCTATGAATGGGTGTGCAGCTCACATGATTTCACTGCCACCCTGGGACCTTCATGCGACCCCCAGTGTTAATCATAACATGATTGAGATGAATAGTCCACTTGTGAAGAACTCTGACCAAACCCGCCACATGCAAGTGGTATGGGTCGAAGCCCACGCAGGACCCAAGGGATCTTCACTGCCGGCTCCTCTCGTCTAAGACAAAGTGAAATGAGCTTGTTAAGTCAGCGCCCCCTCAGAAGCTGGTGCCCTAGGCAACCGTCTATGCCATCTAATGGGTTGACCATCACCGCATACAAGTGACGCTAGTTTGTAATTGAACTAAAAATGGGCTTCATCTTTTTATTTAAAACTGCTACTTTTTTCTCTCAACACATGCAAAATACAATCGTTCTGTTAAATAAAATATCTCCAGACCCCAGTTGCATGGCTGGATGTGTGTCTGCTCCCTTTTGCTAACACTGTGTAGCATTATGCTAAATGCATCACAATAAAGCTTTGGCTCAAAGCTAAGGATAATGGATAAAAGGATGGTTGGGTGATGCGTTTATCACATGCGCACTCTGCATTTGCACAATGGAAGTTGAATTATGAGGCTATGAGTCACCCGGCTAGAGCACGAACGAGGGACAGTTATCATACGCAAATCCCAGCTGTATCATTATGACCCAGAGTCTGGGAGAGAGGTGCGATCTGGGAGCCATGGAGCACTTAGCCTGAGGCTAATAGGAGCAGCAGAGGTCATGTGGTCATGTACACCCTCATACACATGTGCAAACATGTTTCTATGCACATGAGGTCATACACACACATATACATCCACACATACGCCTTACACACATTCCCATGAATTTACCCTCATACAAATCCACTTAAACATGTATAATTATGCCTTTTTCATTATTCTGCTAGTGTGTGTGTGTGTATGTGTGTGTTTTTGTGTCCATCTTTCATAAATGCCCATGCAGCCCAGGCTCATGGAGGAGTAACTTAGAAAAACTCAGCTAAACTGCTCTGACTGCCCGAGCAAACCGGGGTGCCTGGAGAAAAATCAATTAAACATGGAGATTATATTCAAACCGCATGCATTTCGAGCAGGTGGGGAGTCAAACGCTGGGCCTCCCATCTGTACTCACATTAGGAGCTGTGAGTAGCCTGTTAGCTTTCGAATGTATTTAGTTTGCCATTTGAGTACTTTTCCAGCTCAGTCCCTAAGTACAGCAACTTTCAAACAGTATGATGCAAGATTTTTTTTACTGCAGTTGTCAGACATGAACTATGGTCTCTCATGCCCGGATGGGACAGTAGCTGGAGCCGTTATAAGATAATGAGATAATGAGTTTCAGGCAATGCCAGTCAAAGGTCATGTGATACCCTAGGCAGGGTGTACTGCTGGTGCCCCCATCTAAGACAGTGTACCCCCCCGTGCTTAATGGGTTGACCAGTACTGCTGTCAGGTTTTCACTGTTAATGTTGGGTCAAGTTGGGACAATAATTTAAGCTGGGCTGCATGCTATGCTTACATCACAGCGTGAGAGATAATTGGGTTCCAAGTGACTGGGTTCTAAGGTAACCAGTGGCGCAAACTGGGAAGCACATGAGCCGAATCCCCACATTGGTGGGATTCCACAATCATGGTGCCAGACACGACCCCTGGCATCTCCTCGCCTACAATGAAGAAACGATTCACTGGTAGCCCGTCTGAAATTCCAGCAGGTTTTGGCTGTTCCTCACTCGGTACAGTATGTGATGTGGAAATAGAAATAACATGCTACATAAATATGAGACTATTTTCCTCCAACCATCTTTTAACCAATTATCCGTCTGTGGTATGTTGAGAGTTTTATGGGGGGGGGGGGTATATAATTTTTTATAAAACTATATATATTTTTTTAAAAAACCTTGATGACGAAATCACAAGTATATTGGGTACAAGAAGCGCATGGATACCCCAGCAGATTCAGGGGGCCCAGGTTAACCTCACCCCCCCATCCACCCGTCTGTGGTATGGCTGCCACTTTCCAATTTCAATTACATTTCAATTAAAAACATCGCAATATAAAAAATGACTTGATTAAATGAATACACTAGCTCCCAACCATTAAAATAACATTATCCAGACATAAAGTCACTTAAACAAAAATATTAATAGCATTAGTTACCATTTCAATATGGCTGCTAAGGGACCAGTGAACTTCCTGTTTGTTTACATGGATAACATTCACCATCCAAAGTACGCTGATATCTGCATTTGTATCTCTGACTAACAGTCCAAAGACTGATATCTGTTATAGGCTTTTAGTTAAGTTTAGGTAAGATGCTCAAAAATAGAAAAAAACTTCCCCTGTAAATATGGCATCTGTGACTTCAGTTTTTACCCGTGGTACACTGGACCTATACACAACTCACAGCATTCAATGCGTAGCTCTCGGCCTACTTTTAAAGATGAGCCTGCAAATGGGCGTATGCATTTGGTCTGCCCTAACTGGCGAGTTTGCCAGCCAACCACCTAGAAACGTGGGGACTACTGACCCTCCAGTTTGATGAACCTCTCAGCCACTCAGTAACCAAACAGGAAGAAGCATTAGGCCGGAAAAAGATCAGTTCCATGACATGTGTGCCGGGATTGACTTTTAAAACAGGATACAAAATCAGGAATGGAATTAAGCAGAAAAATCTACAGTTAAACACAGGTAAGCCATCTATATACTTTTATTTGCTGTTTTCATGGCGTGAGGAAAGCTGGCGACATGTTGCTGTCCCTGAACCGATTGAGATAAGATTTATATCGATTCTTCCCAAGGGTCTGAGCTCTTAAAACAATGTGTTTGACCAGGGACAGAAGTTTCCAAAATGCTTTTAATGCCAAGGAAGCCCCACGTTAGAATGCCCGTGAGTGTGAGTTTGTTTACAATTCAAGTTTGTTTATCTGTGTAAGTAAAACTATTAGAAATTTGTTTGTGTTTGGTTTATCTCGTGACTGTCAGGACATAAACTGGAACATGTTTTGGTATGTTTGTGGAAGTTGTTTGAATGTTTCCAGCATTTTATTTTAGGAAGATCTGATCGATGGAGCTATTTTCAAGAAGGGGGTGCAGGCTGAAGGTCTACAACCCGGAAAGACACTAAATAAATCAAGACATGCCCTGTCCTGGGATGGCAGATGCTGCACTATGGCAGATATACTGGCAATGGAAACATTGCCGACTTAGTGCGTTGCTTTTGAGCACCAGAAATAATGCTTAACCCGAGGAAAGAGAAGAAAGAAAAAGTGGAAAAAAAATTTGACAGAAGCAGAATCTGCCAATTGAAGCCCTAAAGAAGCTCAGATGTGTCCATCTTAAGTGACAGCCTCACTTTCCCAAGGTGAAGGTCTACATGTAGACGACAGCATCCATTCTGAACCCGCTGGGGAGAAATACAATAAGTTCTGTGCAAAGAGATTCATTTAAAACCAGTTCAAATCACCCTCAGTCACCCTGGGGTAGAGTCACAACTTTGGTGCCGCTGAAATCCCCCCGGAGGCCGAGAACTATGGCCCTGCCAAGAGTAACCAGGGTGAATTATCGGCGGAAAGAGGGGGCGGCACTGTCTTGGGGGAGGGGGGGCTGGTGAAAGTCTGGCTCCAAGGAGGCTGAGGGCCATATGCTCCAGGTCACCCAAGAGATGCCATTCTGCCTCTACTATTATGTTGATAGATTCTGTTCCGGCTGAGCCCACAAGGGACTGGTGAAAGGCACAGTGGGATTTTTACAGGGGTGGATGCCATGTGTCCCGGCAGTAAAATCATAGAAGTTACTTTTTATAGTATATGGGATGTGAAGTGTGAGGTCTCTGCCTCAAAGAAATGTACATTCCTGACAAGAAATAGGTGTAAAGGAGCATCTGTGGTTTGGCACGGAGATCTCTGGGATGCCGGCAGAGATGAGTGGACATTTCTCATGTGTGGTTCCCCAATTGTGCAATGAGCTCTACTAGGAGAACCTCTACCTCTACACCACCACATACAGTACACCCTGAACGCTCTTAGTGTTGCAGCCGTATGTTTGTAATGTGCTATTTGCCTCATCTACACATCACTTTGGACAGAAGTGTCTGACAAATGAAAGAATTGTAATGTAAAAGTTAAGAGTAAGGTGAGGATAGGTGTGATAACATTGAAAGGGTATTAATCTCAGCCCTAGACTATTGGGAGGTTGGTCTTATATTGTGTGCTAGGATGTAGAGACAGCCTAACCAGCATTGCTGATAAAATGACACACTGCCGACGTGACAATTACTTGAAAAGTAATTTAAAATGTAACTTGAATTTTCTCTTAAAGGCATGGGGGTCGTTTTATTTGCGAGGCTGGTTTGGTTCAGTTATCTTTACAAAAAGCAAAGAAATGGCCAGAAATGGCTGTGAGCATCACGGGGCTATGCAGAGAGGACATTGTCGCCATACTTAAGCTGTGACATGCTGAGGTCTTCAGACAGAGCCCAGACTTACATTTGTTAGAAAGGAGAACATCAAATGACTCTGCCCATCGTACAACTTCATCTGTTGATAGCCTGAGAGAAAGAAACCATCCTCAAAATAAATCGAACCATAACAGTAAACACATTACGGTATGTAAGTATATACAACACATGTTTAAGGGTAAATGTACAGTATGTGGTATAGTATAATCAATACACCGTGTTTGCTTGATATGCACAATATGCACGTGCCCATATTAATCATTTTAACAGTTTCCTTAAATGGTAAAGCTTTACTTGAGGGGACACAAGTAATGTAGTATTATGCTATTACTTATGTATTAATTAACCATAAAAAAGTGATAGTTACAAAGTGATGTCATGTTTGTTCATCCTTAATGAACTGTCATACATCTCTTATCTCAAGCAAGTACTATATTTGTTACTATATCTGCTAATTCTGGAAACCTGTGTGAACAGCTGAAGGAACCACTGAAAGAAGTAATGTAGAAACAAATAATGAATAACACTGATCTCAAAAAATACTGCTCAGGTTTGTTCATCATTAATGAATTGTGACACATCGTTTATCCCAAGCAGTTACTATATCTAAGTTGATTCTGTAAATCTTAGTGAACTACTGAACGAACTACTAAGGAAATACTGAAGGAACAAGTGATGAATAACACACGGATGTCACGTTTGAATCATGACGCATCTTTCGTCTTAAGAAGTGATTATATTTGTTCATGATTTGTACTTCAGTAGTATCTGAGTTACTACTAAGTATTTGTGCCCCCCTCAAGTAAAGCGTTACCCGTGAAACAAATGCTATAAATCACTTACAACCTTAAATAATAAATGTGATTTTGATATATTGTATTTTGTGACACGGTTAACTCACTTCATGCACTTGGGTGCCTTTTCTTGTACTGGAGGCAGGAACGCCGTGAAGTCGCTGTATGAGTCGGACTTGTGGGACAGACACCCGAGTCTGGTCTTCATGGCTGAAACAGCACCTATATACCGTACATATGTCAGCGCATAATGAAGATGACACCCCCCCGAACGGAAAGCCCGTCGTATATCCGGCTTTTTTCCACTCATATCACTGCATTCTATAAACCAGCAATATATATACATTATACACATAATATATGGCATAAAGTCACCATCACATTTTCATAAACTATTATATTAAAAATTAAACATACACACATATACACACCCATGTCGCAACTGTGATGGCACAAAATTTCCTATTTATAATGAGAACAAAACTCTCCGTACCTCTTTTGCTAAATCTATATTTCACAAACAAACAATCAAACAAACAAACAGATAGGTATACAAACAAACAAGCAAATGTCTAGGGACAAATATAAATGGCAGAAATGGAAAATGTAGATCACATAAGTAATTCGACTCGAGTTCGAAAAGCAGGAGAGAGAGAGATTCATTTTAATATTACTTTTTGACTGTAAGAAGTCGCACTTGACGCTATGGGATGCGGACGCAGCGTCTGACTGCATTAATCGCTGCGCTGTTTCAGTCCGCAGGAATGTGCGCTGATTACGCCGCAGAAGAAGGTGCTGAAACCCCGCTGTACCCCTAAGGGCAGAGGGCTCTTAGAATTTAAATAGCTAGTTAACGTATTAACATATTAGTTAAGGTGTAAGAACGTACTGAAGTGCAGGATTCATCTGCCGTCAAATCTGGGAAACATTAAATCCACATTACCTCAGCATAAACCACCTTGTTGTACACTAGAACAGATAACTGTATATTTATATGTGTTGCTTGGTTAATTTGCTATCTGTGTCAGTGGAGCCAGGAAATCAATAAAGCTCCCTCATAATCGTTTTTCCTATTAATCGAAACAGAGCTGCCCTCGTTTTATACCCTTGTTCGCAGCATGCTTTGTTAATTACTGCTCCCACCTGTCTTAATTATCAGCATGCCAGATGTTACCAGGCCAAGTGACATGAAAAACAAAATGGCTAAAAGCTCACCGTGTTTTTCACCAGCTACAGATTGAGGACGTGCATCCCGCTTGGCGGCAAAACACGTTTTTCCCCCCAGTGTTTATTTCCATGAGATGTGAATACTGCCTTACTGGTAGAGACAAATTGCAGGTTGTTTTTGCACGTTTCCCTAATTGGGAACATGGCACAAACTGTACCGCAAATCTTCCCACAGAGAATTTTAAGTATTCTAAGGACCTTTTTGTTTTTCTGTTCTCTACCAATTACATGCAGCACATTTTACTTAATACTGTAATCTAGGAGAGCAGGCAAAACTGATACTCACTCACACATCCACCGCTGTTTAAAACAATGCGAAACAATATAGCATTTTTTTAAGCTGCTCTACAATTCTTTTAAGAGAGGAAAATACCTGAGCTAAAGGTTATGAAGTGTGTAAGCAAAGATCGAGTGGACTAACTTTATAACCATTAAAAAGCTAACTAGACTCTCATCATTGCTGTCTGTTTACATTGAAGTGCTAGATAAAAGATGTTATTGTGGGATAATATTACAATATTCTGTGCCATAAAAGGTTTCGGCTGTGTTCTTATAAAATGCATATCCGTTTCATACATTTTCTTCTCTGCTACTAAGTGCCAGATGGGGCCCATCATGGGATGCACTGCACATGCACAGACAAAGACTAACAACCCTATAACCACAATAAATAATTAGAATCACTTTATTAACCCCCATGAGGAAATTGTCTTTTTTACAGCTCCCTCAGCTTGCTCTTTGTAAGCAAGTTGTCCATGAAGGGCAGCCACCTGTAGCAGCGCCCAGGGAGCTGGGGGTTAAGGGCTTTGCTCAAGGACCCACAGATGTGCTGAGGCTGGGTATGAACCATCAACCTTGCGGTTACAAGCACACAGGCTTAGCTAACTGAGCCACATGCTATTCTCTATTCTAAGCCTTTTAAAATGAGCAAATACTTATTAATTTCACTTAATACTTTGTAAAGAACACAAAAGCTTTCACTCATTCATTCATTTTTCATATGTGCTTGTCATATGCAGGATGACAGGGGTCTCCAGCTTATCCAAATCAAAGATAAAGCAGCTACCCCCATCCAGGGTGTCCCTGCCTTGTGTCTGTGCTCCCTGGGATGGGCTTACTGTCATCCTGTACTGGATAAGTGGTATGGATGCTTAATGCTTTAGCTAGAAAATAATTCTACTGAAATCTCTTTGTTATGTTAAGCAAACAACATTTTAGCGCTTGCTGATTTTCTTTTTTTTTTTTGGCAGAAAGGCATTTTTAGTGCCTGCTGATCTGGAATGCTTTCAGTTTAATTTGTTTATCTGAAAGCGCTTAGAGAAAGGATACCCAGTCTGGAATCATAAAGTACTTTTTTTTAGCAAAGAAGATTCTAGAATAAATCAGAATTCATGAACACATATGACAGCACTGACCGGATACTGGGCTCTACCTTCACGGGGCCCCTAGGAAAAGCTTTACTTGGGGGCCCCCAAGTACCAGCAGTTCCTGCTTATAGCTGGCCATGTTTCTGCCTGCACATGCACATTTTAATTTGATGTATACCTTTTAAAAAAATAATTTTCAGTTTTGTATAATTGTTCTTATTTATGAATTATTTATATGAATATTCATTTTTTCATGACTCCCCTCGTGCCAGTTGCCCCCCCCCCCTGGACAGCTGCCTAGCTTGCTTATGCCTGAATCCAGTTCTGATTGAATATTCTGCATCTTTAATGGACTCCAAATATGGACATTCATTTGTTTCACAAATGAACTGCTGCTTAGATTAGCACAGGTACTTGCCAGCACACAAGAGAAAGCACACTGAAATGAATATCAGAGGTAAACATCTGTGACATTTCCACACATCCAGTATCATGTATTCAGTGGCATTGACACAAGGCTTAAATGCCCTGTAAAGTGACATTCAGGTCACTTACAGGAGATGGTTACAGGTGTACAGGACAGTGAGGTTGCGTATGGCACGCAGCAGTGTGAGCACGTGGTGAAACTATAAAATGCAGTGACTAATTTGTGTAGTCAGGGAGAAGTCAGTCCATGTTGGTCATGCAGCAAAATAACTCATGCAGTGAGGCTAAATATACACTCCTGGTATTTAGGTCTCTAGATCTCTGGCTGTTTGAAGTTAGGGGTCTTTAAAAGTCTGCAGGTAAATTTATTCCCTGTGATGTTCCACTGTGCCGGGCCAGGGTCCCATTACAGCTTTGTGTGTGGGCTTTGAGTGTTCAAGCTTATAGATGCTTATACTGCATTTAAAGCACAATAAAGCAGCTGTCAGCAAAATTCAACTGTGTTGTACAACATTTTATGATGATCTTATGAATATTATCTATGGTATTCTGGCAATGATGTAACATCTATGTAGTAGGATTGCACTGATAATGTCGAATAATGATGTCGAATAATGTTGCCAGATGATTTATGCATGAAATATAATGTCCATTCCAGATTATGTGTGAAAATTTAAATAGTAAGTACATTAGATAGATAGATAGAAAGAAATAAAATTTAGGTGATACATTCAAAGATTAGCACTTAGCTTGGCTAGACCTCTGCAAATTGAACAAAATATTCTTCCCTAACGTTGTAATATATACCTTTTCTGATGAAACCTTCACAGGCAATTAAAGCAGGTCAATGGGGGAAACACTGAGATTGCAGTATGGGATGGGGAGAGTGGTTAATTATATCAGACTTTGGAAGACATAAAACCTTCCAGTGTGTTTATATAAGGTTTGAAGCACTGCATCTTGATCTAATGACAGAGTAAGAAATAACAGTTTTATCCATAATTATTCTCATTATGGCAGCACATAGAAGTTTTATTTCATACAACATTCTCTCCTGAGTTCAATTACTTCCTGGCATTTCCTTGTAGCTGCTGTGTCGAACTACCATTTTCCTTGCTTTAATTTGAATGAGTTGTAAGTGTTTCGCTTTCATCTGTTTGGTTTAGGGTTTCCTGGGACTCTGACTTCCAAGAATCTCTATGGTCTCTACAGAGGTGCCTGCAGAAGATTTCGACTGGCGTGGCCATTAGGTGCCGGTGATATTTGTGGGGGTGGTGGTACTGCATCCTGTCTATTCTATGATTCTGCTTCGAATATAAAATAATACATATTTGATTTTTTTTTTGTTTTTATTTTGATGTATTTACTAGGGGTGACCAGACCACCCCTGGGTCTCTGTATGCCTGCAATGGGCTACTAATCCCCCCACAGATCACAACATACTGAACCTCGTTTGGCTGATGAGGCGAAGACACACCTCCGCCGACATTTTTGCTGTCAGTTACGTGTGTTTGTGAAGCACTCTTGGGCAGGGGGGCCTCGGCTCGCTTGATTCTGCTGCTGGATCTGTAGCTGCGCAGGGAAACTTTGAAGTTACTGTGCAACGGTGGAAGGAGCGCAGCTCTCTAAGTCCTAACTCACTTCATGGAATGTAGGCTAACTTTAATGACCTTGATATCCTTGTCGCCCTGTGCCTGTAGCTTCTGGGCTAAGGCTCCAGACTGGCATGACCCCCTAATCCATGTCGGGGGGGCACTATGAGCTACTTCAGGTTTTACAAACTACTTTAAACCTGAAAGGCTATTGGATCAATAGTTTAGCTCTTCTTGTACTTTGAAGTGGTTTGTTCCCTTGATTGAAATACTCATCTAGCTGTTTCACATTAACATTACTGACACACGCATGATTATAGGAGACTGACCAATCAGCACACAGCAAGAACTCAGTGCTTAAGTGAAATCCAGGCCCTATAAATTGTAATGGGTTAACGTGGTAGTTTACAAACCAATCATAGCTCATAGTGTCCCTCCTGACATGGATTAGGTGGTCAATCTACTCTGGACCCCCGATCTCTGAATGGGACAATCGGGTACAGAAAGTAGATGGATGGATGATATCTTTGTCACAGATGGCTAATGCGCTAATGATCTCTGCTGCAGAGCATTGTGGGTAGCCCCATGATTACGAGCTTAATTCCTCAGTTGGGACATTATCCTTTGCACTCCAAACTGCCCCTACGTTACTAACTTCTCTCAGGTTCTCACTGATACATCTCTAGTTCGCGTGTGGTTGTTACCGGGGTCCCATAGTCCCGTAAAGCCCATTCGTGACGCCGCGTGGTACAGGTGCTGATGAACACGCTCCTGCACACCTGAATGCGGCATTCTCACCCACCTGCCCGCCGACAGGCCGCCAAATTCAAACACCCTCGCACTCTGTTAGGCTTTCAGCGGCTTCGCTGGCTACAGGGTTCCAGCGAATGTTCTCTCCGCACGACTGACCTAATTCTGTCCCGGAGGCCTCCGCTCATCTGAGCGCCTTGCTAGAGCGGCCGACGGTGGGTGGCTTTGGATGGAGACCCTCAGGAGTTTCGGGGACGGCCTCTATCTGCAAGCCGGTGCTGTGTTGGGGAGGGTGTGAAATTAAATGCAAATGCCAGCCATTATGTATCAACTGTGTTTATACGTTTATAATCCACCCAAAGATTGTAAGCATATAAATCAAAGCAGGGATGTACTTAGAGATGAATGGATAGGGGGGCTGAATCTTTACTGCGGGGGGCAAACTTATATATAATATAGAAAGCTATTCATGACTGGAGCCTATAAATACATATTTATTTAGGAGGTTAAATACATTTTAGGGGGGGCTAATGCACCCCTAAAATAGGCCTAACGAAGCCTGTGAGTTAAAGATGTAACTAATGTGTGACAACAACCCTGGACACAGAAGATGGAGGAATGATGGATGAATGGATGGAGAACTAGTATATTTTACATCTCAATCATCGTGCATGGTGGTAGGGAGTTTGCAGCACAACGTTTGCATTAATGCAGCTGCTTTCCTTAAACTGGGACTGGCGGCAGTAGTTTTGTTACATTGATGACAGGCAATGTTAAGACAAGCGAGGTAAACAGTTTCAGATCCTCTTCATGTTTTCACATTTTAACCTGCCTGCCTGTCAGAGGGAGTCCAGGGGAAACCCAGCATCACACGATCCAGTTTACCTGCCTGGTAGTTAATTACCTAATCACCTAATTACCGGTTAGTGCCTTCATCTCTGGTTAAGTCACACCTTGGACAGGGTTACCTGCTAGTGAAAATGCCGTGTACATGTTTATCCAAAGGATTCTTCAGAGTCTCAGAAATCTGGTCTGTTGTCTTTTATGTGAGCTTTGTATTTTTGCTCTTGATGTTGCTTTTGTGATCTCTGGGTGGAGTTGAAGCCCAACTTCGAATACCTGCATTTTTCTGTTCCCGTGGCTGTGGGATTCTACTCTGTTTCTGGGTTCACAGTTAATAGAGAAGAAAGCAGCCTGTTCTTGGGATTGTGTGACGCACGTGGGTTGTATTCAATGCCAGTGTGATTGCATTAATGCATCATTTCAACAGAGAAATAATTCATATAACCTTTGTGATGAAAAAGAACCCCTTTGATCAAAAGGCATCATATTACTGTGTTGATTGTTTATGAATCTTTGCGAATTTTATTAAGTTGGCTAAATAGTTTAGTATTCTTAAAGTTTATAGTATAGTTATATAATAGTTTTGTTGTATCATTATAGTTTAACTTCTTCAACAAGAACAAAAGACCCATAATTCCATGCACAAAGGTTGCTTCAAAGTACCCACCCACACAGGACACATCCTGTCCTCTGACATTTCACACTCTTATGGAGGCTTTTGGATCAATGGCCATGGGAATGGTTTGATGTGTTCTGGCAGTAAGTGCACAAGGTGGGCAGTTTGTTATGATGGAAAAATAGCGAAACCTGCTTTAGGCGATCAGTCGCTTCAGATAAATCGCCTTATATTCTTTCGAGTCGCCATATGACTGTTTCAGAGAGAGCCATTTTGCATGAAAAGAATGAGTCAAGTGCCACAGATTATTGACGTGAATTGCAAATTATGCATTAGGTTAGTTTGTACTTTGACTGATTGATATCTAGTGATCATTGAATAAATAACCTTCAAAACACATTTCTCAGCGCACATACTGGTCTTGTTAGTATTTACACCACAACCATGCACTATACATCACGTTAATCTCAATCATGACTGAAATATACAATAAGCAATACCATACAGTAAACCAGATGGACCTGAACCTAAGCTGAAACGTAGGACCACCATACTTTTGTAAAACAAAGATCTACGGAGTGAATATGGAATTCCTACCTTATATCAGTCTAGGAGGAAGATGAAACGGTCTCAGTCAAAGTCCAGCGTACCACTGCTGACCTTTTGGGGTGCAGTGAATGTCTTAGTCCTCCTGCTATCTGATGTCACACGTAAGGTGGTGACGATGGCTTCTTTTCCTGAGTGTGTTTGTGTTGCACAAGAGCAAGAATGGGAAACACGCTCTCGTTTTCACCGTAGTGGGAAAAGATGGAGAGAGAGGAAGAGACCGAGAGAGAATGAGAGAGGGAGAGGAGGAGAGAGAGCGGGAGTCTGCTTGAGCGCAGATGTCTCTGGGGGTATTGGGGGGCTTTTCCAGTGTGGACAGTGAGTAATCTCTCAGGATTATGTACTCCAAGCTCACGTTTACATTAAAATATTGCAATTAAATTTACTAGGTATTTGGGGCAGGGAGTGTCAACGGGAGGCTGGAGGGCTGAGAGATACCACCGTATTACAGGAATTATACATTCCAACGGGGTCAGCATATGACATCAGGCTGAAGCAGTTGTATGAAATGCTCAAGGCGTTTCTTCAGTCTTAGTCAGTTCACGCGTCCCACACTGTGCCGGTGACCTCATGACCTCGGAATGGGAGCCCGGCGAGCTGCGTCTCTTATATAACAGGCGAAAAGGCAGCACATTTAGACGCTCATCGCATGTCCTATGGAAAGGGGAGCGTACATCGAGCCCAGAGTCAGTGCCTCCTTTTGTCCGTTGTGAAGTGTCAGATTCACAGGTATGTTCAGGGTCCCACTGTAAAACATTGTGTGCTTTTAATAAGAAACTCCTGAAGGAATGCATACAGGTTTGGATCCAACAACCTTGTATTGAATAAGTGGCTGGGAGATGGATGGATGGATTGATGGATGAGTATAATTTTATGAGAGTAAAAACACTTGAATGAGATATTTACATCTATGTTTCATATCTGAATTCCCAGTACAGGGCTAAGTGTAGAGTATACCAGGAACTATGAGGTCATGAGGAAGGTGACACTCTGGCATAGAAGCTGGCTGTGTCACGCACACACACACACAGGTTTGTAATTATATCTTTGTGGGGACTCCATTCATTTCTATGGGGAAAACTCTAATTCCAGCATGACAACCTTAACCCCTACCCAGCCCTAACCTTAACCATGAGTAATCAAACAAAATACGAGACTTTTGGCATTTTTAGGTTTTTGCTTCCATTCACAGATGTTTATAAAATTGAATTTCCACCACACACACACACACACACACACACACACACGGGGCAGGATTCTCATACCCTGCTCTGTAGGTATAGGGTCACCCTGCTTTCCACAGTAAATTCTGATAGACAAACACATATAATTCATATAAATCTCACAATTTAAAACTGTCATTGTAATGAAATGAATCAACACTCTTAATGTAATAAAATGTTCAAAACAACTTACAATCTATTTACAGTTTATAATTTATACAAACAAAAATGTCAAAGCTTTAGTTATTTCTAGAGTCAGTTTGACATGTTTTTAATGTTTTTTTTATGATATGAAGGAAGCCCATGGAGATCATCATGTCAATTTTTAAAAACTATCCCAAATCTATTCAAAATAACGCCTAAAGTATCAGGAATTATTTCAGCTAAAATAATTCAGTTGATATGCAATAATAATATTTTTTCTTTATTTGGCCCTTATGGTTCTTATTTTCCTATCACCTGTGAGCAAATCAATGTAAGATTCACTGTAGTCAGATTTGAATAACAGATCACTGTCAAACAGCTTTTCCTCATCACAAATTACACAGCTCTTGAAAAACAAACTACACTCACACTTCAATAATCACAACAATCACATTTATTTATATGCTCTATAGCATGATGTATAAATAAGGCAAATAGCATATTACAAACATATGGCTGTTGAGGGGTCGATTGAGCATAAATGTGGATGGGCTGAGCTTCTAATGAATGCTCAGCTAAAAGTGAACGCAGCATTGGAGCAAGAACCTACTTAGACTACTGTTCAGTCAGCAGACAGTGTACCGCAGAGCATTCAGCGAGTATGGAGCGGTGTAGGCTAGTGGAGGTGCTCCTGGAACAGAGGCGTCTTGAGGCGTTTCTTGAAGGTGGAGATGGAGTCTGATGACCTCACTGCCCACAGTCACCATGTCGCTGGGATACCTGGAAACCCTGCCTGAAAATTGGACATCCTAGAAGAGAATATCTTAACATATTTATGATTAAGTAATTTATTGTGAGTACTATATTAAAATTAAAATGTGGAAAAGATGGAAAGAAACATTAAACCTTCATTTTGTTATCCAGTACAATGTGTCAGGTTCTCATGGGGATTTATACATTTGCAAAGCATCCGACATTAGCCTCTCCTAGCGGCTGGCTTATTAGGGGAAGATTTATAGTATGGGAGACTTCCTTAGCAACATGATGTTTTATACCTCGCCGTTCATCATGAAGCGCACGTTTGCTGAGAGTAATTTACCACTGGGCGTCATTTTTTTCCCACGTAATCTCTGACTCATATTTTTAATGTTACGCCACCTGAGGTGTTGAAATTTCCTCTTTCTGATAGCATGTCTTCAAGACAAGAACTTCTTTTTGTTAATATCACTTTGTTTGCTTCCTTGAGTAACAAACATTGTGGATTTTAGTCTTTGAAAGGGTAGTTTGCATAGCCATCCCTGTCTGACAGTTAATATGACTCTCCATAGCTCGGGGGTCACAGCACAGGGTCAGCTAAAGTACAACACCATTGGAACCAGGTCTTAAGGGCCCTGCTCAAGGGCCGTGAACGTTCTGCAAAGGTCAGGCTTCGAACTGGTGATTTTCTGAAGACATCGCCTGCTGAGCCACTCATCACTTTACTGAAAGACAGAAAAGACAGATTGTGATGTACATCCTGCGAGGTTTTCATTTTGAGAATAGTTTGGGTTTATGCTGTAATATTAGATGTTATACAATTATTCATGTATGTCTATGTTCATTATTCTGGTGTTAATATACTGCATGCAGTTGGAAAAGTAATTTTGATGCAGTGTTCTTAGTCCATACTGTACATACATGAATTAATTGATTCATAATGTAAAATTTCTGACAATATTGCAATCATGTGCTTTTACAAACTTCAAAACTGCTTTGTTTAAAGCATAAATGAGCAATCTGCATAACAGCTTGGTTTAAATTATGCTGAAATAACATATTACAATGTAGGCTTTCCTCCGTCTCCAGCCTGCACTGACTGATTGCACAATCCGATATTATCTGGCTAGCAAAGGAATTTTATTTATATTAGGTGCTGAAAAAGGAATCACATTTGCAAGGCTTACAGATAATTGTGCTGAGTGCTGCTGATGTGCTCCATGCCTTAAATATGTCAGAGATAAGAAAGACACACTAGCCATGATATTACATTTTCCATTTATGAGCTTTCTGCCGATATACAGTATAAATAAAATGGAGTAGACAATTGCTCACGAATAAACAGACTAGTGTGATACTGACACTAATGTGTACAAATACTCCTGTCACAGAGGCAAACAAATGTTTTTTTTTTAATAGAAATTGAAAAAATATGATTTTAGGGAGAATTTTTATTACTCACTAAGGAAAGGGAAAGGGGCGGGGCCATCTATAGAATGGCAGTCAGGTGACCATGGTTATTCATGCTTATTTGCTGATTTCTGCCTTATATTCATCACATATGATGCTTTCTGTTTTATGGCCTACTGTACATTTTCAGGGACCCAATAGTCCTGGCTCACATTCCCTCTGCTATTCCCTGAACCCCACGCATTAAATCATTTTCTTCCTCTCTCTAAAGCAGCATTTTATGCTTTTTGTATTGCCAGTTTTTATGTGACTAGTACACTTGACACCTGTAATGGGATGTCCTCTATCCCTATTAAATTTATAATCTCATGTCTCATCGTCTTGTCACACCAATGTTTCTCACACAGATGATAAATTATACACAAAGTCACTGAATTGCCTTAAATTTGGTCTATGAATATTAATAACGTGAGGGCAAACCTCTACACTTGTTTCTGTATTGGTCCGAATACATTTTGCTGATGTAATTCAATATTTAAGCAACTTGTTTTTACTTTTCTAAAGATATCAGCTGCACATTTCATTGCTACACCTGTATTGCCTGGAACTCCATCCGCACCTTAAATCCTCATTTCATTATACACTTTGTTCAGGGCTCAGGCTACCAGCTCCTGCTTTGGTCATTTACATTTGTGTCCATGTGCATGTTTTGGTCTTCAGCCTCTTGCCGGAGAGGACAGTTTGGAAAAGTGTCCCGCGCTGGGCATGGACTTTCCCAAACACTCCCTTCCCTGAGGTCTATCCGGACCAAAACCGTGCACCAAAAGCAGTTCTTTCCCTTACAGCAGTAGGCCCTTGAATTTGCCTGTCACTGCCAGCCCGTCTAACCATCTGCTGCTACATTGCTCTGTACACATTATCTGCACTACGCACATCATTTTATCTTACTTATGTATATAGTGTATTATATTTATGTCCTTGATGGCTTTTCCATGGCACCCCAGATAGATTCTTTGTATGTAATAGTACTGGGGGTGGTGAGTGGCTCAGTGGGCATCGTGCCTGTGTCTGTGATTAGAAGATCGCTGGTTTGCACCCTGACCTCACCAGAACAGTCACATGCATGTCCACCGGCCCTTGAGCAAGGCCCTTAACCCCCCCCCCCCCCAGCTTCAGGGGCACTGCACATTGGCTAACCCTGTGCTATATCCCCCACCCCCCCTCCAAAGCTATGGGTTAGCAAAGACAAGCATTCCAATGTACTTGTGCAAATAGACCTTGTTTGTCTGTCTTTGTTTGTTACTTGGTGATAAATAAACAAATCTGATGTTTAGGGGCCTGTATTATGAATTGAAATTTGTTGGTTAGCTAGACAGCTTGATGAATTTAAGGTGCCACAGTTTAAATGGTCTTCATCTTCATTTAAGTATATTTAGCCCAGGCTACCTTAGACCCAACAAGTTATCTTGCTAGACTGAAAACCCAGCATCTTTATACCGGCCCCTGGTCTTGTGTTTCGTTTGCTTGGTTTTGTTACTTTGTTTAAGCCCCTGTGTACCACAACTTATAGGGCCAGAACTTAGCAGCGGTGAGGCCTGTTTTATGTGAGCCAACCAGAGTCAGGAAGACCTCTGAGACTGACCATATGCTTTGGAACGAGCACATGAACACTAAGGAG